AATCATATGCATAGACAGAGTATCCTGTGTTCTTATTGGCCATGTCACATGTCAGTAAAATGATGCAATATAGCTTTGAACAGTCCAGTATGCATCTTGCGATTAAAGAGTTACTGAGTTAATAAATCCTCATGATAAAATGACTTCGGCGTGCACCTAGAGTTTCCTTGAATACCTCATCATATTAAAAGCAAAAGCATTACAGCGGTGATCCTTCCTCAGCTCTCCATCAAGGCTGGCTCTTCACAAAATGAATCCACTTCTTCTTGATGTAATCGTTTTTCGGAAATGTAAATAAGGACACCGATCTGTTTTGTACGTGATCCGGTGATCGCATTCAGGTAGTACCACTGATCTATATAGAATGACTGGATAGCTCATGACGTCAAAAACAGTGAAGCCACCGCGCCGCCATATTGTGATTCCCTAGTGAGCTCACGCGTTCTATTGAATCAATAGGAAATTGTATGATTTGACTAAGAAAACATTGCATAACGAGACACCGTCTTTAAATCTAAAGTCTTCCTGAACAGTCTTACAACGCAAACATCCTAAGCATTTAAATGGGTATTTGTTTAAAGTCGGAAATTATTCCTGCTTACTAAAAATTAAGTATATGTGAAGTGTGAACTTAAAATTGAGCTCTTTCTGATCGTGTTTTACAGTTAGATCAGTAGTCTGTTCAAGTATTTGATTAGTTAGCAAGAACATGTCCAGGAAATGCGTAATACAAATTGTATAGGTTAATGTAGGCCTACACCTGTTTCACCTCTTATTTACCCCTTATTTACACTGCACATGTCTGCGGCGCGTTACAGCTGCGACACGGCTACCGGAGCTGATCGCGCCCACAAATAGGCAAATCACGTGGAAATGCTGCTGGTGTGAGTTGACACCGCGTGAAGGTAGGAATAAAACATTGTCGGAGCCATATGCGCCGCAGATGTGTGCAGTGTAAATAAGGGGTCACACATAGGCCTACTCCGTTTGCAGTGCATATTATTTTTACCATACCCATGTTAACAGGTTGGAGCTTTAACTGCACGCGATTGCCCGTCCTGTGCGGTGCGTGCAGAGATCGTTTGTGCTGCAGGCGCTGAATTAAAGTGACAGCGCATGGTTCATGGTCAAACTGAACACGGATTGACATGACAATATTAAATAACTGCATTTAATTAAATTTATAAGAAGTAATGCATTCAATAATACGTTTATTGGGTTTAAACTTGAATACGTCTGTGTAAGAATGCATAGTAGGCTATACTTTTTTTTAAACAACACGGAAATAGCGACAATTGTACATATAAATTACTATATATGGGCTTAAAGTACAACCTGTGAGCAGTTTTTCAAGATCCTTTTGTAATCTTAGTTTTACACTTGTTGATGCACAGCGGGTTATCTTAAAAGTGCCGTCGGAGCTACCTATCTCTGTATAACGGCCGTTGGAGCCCTCTGCTGGTAGGGAATCGTAAGATGGCCGCTCGAACACTTCCGGTGGCTTCACCGCCTGGTGGCAGTTTAGAACGTCATGAGCTATCCAGTCATTATATACATCAGTGGGTAGTACGCATTTCCGTGACGAAGGCATAGCTAGCTAGCAATCTGTATGCTTTGTTACTAATAATAGTACTGACAGTAACTCGCGATTGAGCGCCAAACTGAAGCGAATGTGCTCTATTGTTAGGGGAGCGGCCAGCCTCAGTGGCCTCAGTGCGTCATCAAGTAGGGGCATGTCCAGGAGCTCAGGGGCTCCAGTGCGTCATCGAGCCCCGTTTTAGCGCCGCCCAGAAAATCCGGAAAATAGCAATAGTGAAAAACTGTTTAACCCTTTAGAACCGGCTGTGTCGTCGCCGAAACAGATCAGCAAGCTGTATTCATTGTACCGTAACTCTTCAACCGTTTGCACTATCAAAACCATTCAAATTGCCCCTGACAGGAGACAACATGCGCTTTTCGGCAATATACGGCTTATTACGGTAATTTCGTCAGCAAATGACAGCAGCTTTCTGGCAAAGCGGGAAGGAAGGATTTGAACAGAGAGATACGAAGCGCGGCAGGTTAGAGTGTTTTAGATTGCATAAAATAATAAAAGAAACTAACAAATACATGGCGAAGTAGTAGACAGCAGAAGAGGGGATTGGGATGATATTTAATGAAACTTGGGAGGCGGATGGCCGTTACTCTTTCACATATCTTTACATGTGGTGTATGCATGTGTATGTGTGTGCGTGCCTAAGAATGGACGCATTTGTATGTGTGCGACTGTGCGTGTATGAAAAAAAGTGTCAAACTGTGCAACCCAATGTCACAAAAAAGACTTGTATAGATTATACTTCATTTTTCAACTTTAAAGTGTTAGTTTCTTTCGTTCGTGATTTTTCTGTTTTTTTTTTTCTAAATAAAAATCAGAAAATGTATTCTCGTTTTTTTATTTTTGTCTATTTAAATTCTATTTACAAACTCACCACACACAATAATGGTCAATAACTGTAATTTGTTGAAAGCTAATCTTTTTCTGAAAAAGATGACACCTTGCACATGAAGATGGCACATTGTTTTAGAATTTTACAGTCAAAAAATCAAAATATGTGAAAAACACCTATTTTAGCTTCAGGTTCTAAAGGGTTACCAGTCTAACTCCACAATTCAGTAATTCACAGTCTTTGTAATAAAACACAGTCAATACATTTCTAACATTTATAATGTGTTTAGAATTTTTTTTTGAAATTGCCTTTACGGGGACTTAAATGGCATAATACAGTGATATAAAAGACAAAACTTGCACCTTATTGAGGATTGAGGAAGTATGCCAACATACAGGTCCTTCTCAAAAAATTAGCATATTGTGATAAAGTTCATTATTTTCCATAATGTAATGATAAAAATTAAACTTTCATATATTTTAGATTCATTGCACACCAACTGAAATATTTCAGGTCTTTTATTGTTTTAATACTGATGATTTTGGCATACAGCTCATGAAAACCCAAAATTCCTGTCTCAAAAAATTTGCATACCATGAAAAGGCTCTCTATACGAGCTATTAACCTAATCATCTGAATCAACTAATTAACTCTAAACACCTGCAAAAGATTAAAATAGGCTTTTAAAAACTCCCAGCCCGTTTCATTACTCAAAACCGCAATCATGGGTAAGACTGCCGACCTGACTGCTGTCCAGAAGGCCATCATTGACACCCTCAAGCAAGAGGGTAAGACAGAAAGAAATTTCTGAACAAATAGGCTGTTCCCAGAGTGCTGTATCAAGGCACCTCAGTGGGAAGTCTGTGGGAAGGAAAAAGTGTGGCAAAAAACACGGCACAACGAGAAGAGGTGACCGGACCCTGAGGAAGATTGTGGAGAAGGACCGATTCCAGACCTTGGGGGACCTGCGGAAGCAGTGGACTAAGTCTGGAGTAGAAACATCCAGAGCCACCGTGCACAGGCGTGTGCAGGAAATGGGCTACAGGTGCCGCATTCCCCAGGTCAAGCCACTTTTGAACCAGAAACAGCGGCAGAAGCGCCTGACCTGGGCTACAGAGAAGCAGCACTGGACTGTTGCTCAGTTTTGCATGTCATTCGGAAATCAAGGTGCCAGAGTCTGGAGGAAGACTGGGGAGAAGGAAATGCCAAAATGCCTGAAGTCCAGTGTCAATTACCCACAGTCAGTGATGGTCTGGGGTGCCATGTCAGCTGCTGGTGTTGGTGCACTGTGTTTTATCAAGGGCAGGGTCAATGCAGCTAGCTATCAGGAGATTTTGGAGCACTTCATGCTTCCATCTGCTGAAAAGCTTTATGGAGATGAAGATTTCATTTTTCAGCACGACCTGGCACCTGCTCACAGTGCCAAAACCACTGGTAAATGGTTTACTGACCATGGTATTACTGTGCTCAATTGGCCTGCCAACTCTCCTGACCTGAACCCCATAGAGAATCTGTGAGATATTGTGAAGAGAAAGTTGAGAGACGCAAGACCCAACACTCTGGATGAGTTTAAGGCCGCTATCGAAGCATCCTGGGCCTCCATAACACCTCAGCAGTGCCACAGGCTGATTGCCTCCATGCCACGCCGCATTGAAGCAGTCATTTCTGCAAAAGGATTCCCGACCAAGTATTGAGTGCATAACTGAACATAATTATTTGAAGGTTGACTTTTTTTATTTATTATTAAAAACACTTCTTTTATTGGTTGGATGAAATATGCTAATTTTTTTAGATAGGAATTTTGGGTTTTCATGAGCTGTATGCCAAAATCATCAGTATTAAAACAATAAAAGACCTGAAATATTTCAGTTGGTGTGCAATGAATCTAAAATATATGAAAGTTTAATTTTTATCATTACATTATGGAAAATAATGAACTTTATCACAATATGCTAATTTTTTGAGAAGGACCTGTATATCATAAATTATACTCTGTTTCTGTAGTGATGAGTGTCAGCGGCAGGTAAATACACTTGCGTGATTGTCGTGTGGACCGACTCTCTCGGTTGCATAGGACATATCACTCCGCCGCTGCTGTAGACTGTGCTAATAAATATAGGTAAAACAATATAACTATTGCAATGCGATGAAAAGGATAGTTTGATTTCTAACATTATTCTCTCAACAGACACTTACTTTGATAGTCTGGCGTTTTAGTTGATTTGCTTTTAGTGTACTGTGGAGTGGGTAAAACTGTTTTAATGGCATGCTAAACTGATACCATTGATTCGTACTAGCCTAGCATCGGCCAATTACGCAACTGGGACGACTGGATGAATTTAAAAAAAAAAAAAGTCTCTACTGATAAATAACACTAAGGCTCACTTGGAAATGAGGCCCAATGTCCAAAATTCCGAACCACCCCTTTAATGCATAATTTTCTTCTTAATTACTCTTTTAATGTAATTGCAATGCATAAAATGTGCATCAGAGAGTTAATATTCCTCCCTGTCCCAGTGGAAATGTGGCATTGTCTGAATGTGACAATGTTTTTGCAGTTGAGTTCAAGCTGTTTCACTCGTATGCAAACAGGTTATGATGGCAATTCAGATAGTAAACGCTGGCAAATATGAGCAGGACAGATATGAATCTGATCATCACAACCGACAGGCAGAAGGAGCCACAGGATGACAGCACAGGGTCCCAGTCAGGAGTCCACCTATAACCTACACAAACACACTTATTAATTAGAGGACTTTAATAGCAGGAGGCTGTTGAAAAGATAATCATAACCGCCCACAACACTCCAGTCGCTCTTACAAATGTCTGAAAGCCGTTGCATTCGCAGTGATTCTCAACTAGTTCTGCTTCAGAACCAAGATTTTGTTAGTGAACCAGAATTGTAAACAGAAATAATTTTTTTTTAAGTTTTTGTAAATGCATAAACATCGGAAATATGATTTAGTCTAGTTTTAGTGTCTCCAAATATTAGTTGTTTAAGTGGTTTCATTCTCTCAAAGGTCAAATAAAGGTTCTTCATGGAAACACCCATGGATTCTTTATCTTTAAGAGTGTATATTCATCCTATTTAATGCATATTTATGAAATCTTGTTTTTTATGGTTTAATGCCACATAATCAGCTTCCGCCATCAAAAGCATTTGTGCACAGACACAGGAACTTGCTGTATTGCGATGACACTCAGACATTTATAATTGTGTGTGTGAAGTGAACATGTTTTCTGTGTATTCAGATTGAGAGATCAGGGCTTGTCTTACTCTGCGGTGCATCACGGGTTGAGTTTCCTGTGAAAGAACGAGAGAGATGTGAAGTAAAGCGGTTGTTGGAAAGGAGGAGTATGTTTATTACTGACACTTACGACAGAGTTTGTTTTCACACGTCTCCTTGCCACATCCACTGCACGGTGACCCTGTTCTGTATGGAGCAACACCTTCATAATTTCCCCTGTTGAAAACAATTTTGTTGTGTGCAAACAGTACGAAAACATGCTTCACTAAAACATAATTCACCACTCCTGCCAATGTGGTTTTCATACTTACGCTGTTGCATAGTTGCACACAAATATGATTCCTGGCCTTGTTGAGAAAGACGTTTCAGCCACACCGTTTGGACAGGCCTGCGCGGCACAACCGACCTTGTACGTGTCTGCCCAAACAACCTTTACGTGCAGAAAACAAGCGATACAGAGAGGGCTTATTCACTTGTGTTTGAACACATGAGTGTTTGGTTGAGCTTTAGATCGGAGTGTTTACCTGTGTGTAGTGACCGCACACTTTTGAGCACTGATTCTGACTGTAATCGTAATCTTGGACCTCGTCTACCCATGACTTAATTGCAGATTTCACGTTGAAATGGGTGTACGGAGCTCCAGCCCAGATGTTTTCACCCACAGAAGTGAACGTTGGGTGCACCCTTCCCGCATCCTTAAGGTGAATGTTATGTTTAAAGAGACAGAATCTCGCCCAGGCCCGCGCCGTCACCGCCAGCCCTTCATCCCACGTCTGGACACACACACACACACACACACACACACACACACACACACACACTTATTATGGCTTCGTTTGTGATTAATGTTGTAAGCTTATGACAGATCCATAGACCCACATGCAATCTGCACTGTACACATTCATGCCTTTGCATCTATTGGGAAATTCTGTTCATTTTGCTCATAAATCAGCCTCAAAATGGTTTGCTGGTTTAATGTTCTACTTTTAAGGCTGGGAGAACTTAAACCAGCCAAGACCAACAAATCAACATAGGCTTTTTTTTTTCTTTACCACCAGTACATGCATGAAACAGGAAATTGCATGAGAAAAAATTATATAACAGGTTTTATGAGGAATTGGTCGGATACTGAAAAGCTCATTTGAAAAGATAATTCAAAATATGAATAAATACTGTAATATAATAATAATACTAAAACAACACTGATACTAGAAGTCTGAAACTAAAAGTGATCAATAAATACTATAATTATATAAATATTATTAAAACAACACTGATGTCTATTGTAGTTTGTTTTACATATGCGGACTAGGAGCAGTCTTGAAGAAAAAAATACACACACATGACTTCAGCTCCGTCTAACACATCTTACCATGTTCAACTCCATCAGAAACATCTCATATTTAGCCTACCATGTAGCGCATGTTGCTGGCTGATGGATTCACGTTGATGCGGCCCATATTGTGTTCTGTCACACATTCCTTAATAAACTCTGGATCCGTGATATCAAAGAAGGGCTCGCTGGAAACCGCTTTCAGGAGAACGGTGACACAAATCAGAACGACGTGAATAAAGTCACTCATCACTGAGTTTGACAGACGATGGAGAAGTTTCCTGTCAGTGGTGTGTGAACATAGCCCTAACTCACTTCTGCTTTTTTTTAAAGAGCATCTGAGGAACTATTTTTATAACAAAAACAAGTCAAAACCTCACATCGGTTTCATACCGCACTGCATTGTGGGTTAAACCACTTCCCCCTTCTCACCCTGGTTTTCACCAGGTTAACTCGAGTAAATGCAATGGATGAAGAATTTAATATGATTTATGAGTTTGGCATCTCTACCACAAAAATAGTTTTTATCGTGCAATCATGTTTGCAAAACTGAAGATGAAAACAAACAATCATACTGTTTTTCACCATTATGCAAAATTATTTGTGCATAGAATCAAGTATTCCAGATAAACATATGTTAGGGGTAAACGGTTAAAGACCCAGAACCATAATACTAGAAGTATAATAAATTAAAGAAAAGATTTTGCAGAGCAAAAAGCAAAAGATTTGCTTTACTATCTGAAGATAGTTTGCAGTTTCGTCAGCAGAAGTCAGCTTCAAGACTCACAAGACCCACCCCCCCCCCCCCCCCCCTTACAGTGACAATAATCACAGCAGTTATACCCTTCACCAAGGCCCTGTCCCAAATGGCACACTCCAGACTTGTGGACTTCCTCAGAGTCCACACTTTGGTGACGTCATGTAGTGCAGACCTATAGGGCCCTTAGCGCGAGTCCGCGAGGGCGCATTGAGAGGTGTTTTTGGGACAGACTCGATCGTCACGCCGGAAACAGGAAGACTGTCTGACAGGAGCTCGGGGAAATATGCTATTGTTGTTGTGTTTACATATGACTCAGTAAAGCCCTGTTCTATTTATTTAATGAATCATAATGCGATCGTATTATTCAGCTCACTATTATTAGCTTATGTTTGAGTCATCAACCACTGGTTGATGATCATAATGTTTGTATAAACTTGTCATAAAAACCGTAATGATAATTGCACTTAAATATTTTCTTCTCAGCCATGTTAACAATTGTCCGTGAGCGAAATCTCCTCCCATCCGTCTTCTGATTGGCCTTTCGCAAGGATTCCTGGGTAGTTAAAGTGCGTGGAGCCTGCATCTATGCGAGCTTCGCGGAAGACCGCTTCAAGGGTACAAAGGGGGCGCTGCTGAGCACACTTCAGAGCGTTAAAATGCTAAATGGGACGGCCTACGGACTCGTAGACTCGGCGAGCACGCGCAATTTAAGTCCACGAGACCGAAAGTCCGCATGAAGTGCGCCATTTGGGACAGGGCCCAAGATCTAAGCTATACGTCCTTGCTTCAGGTTGCAGTTTCTGATTGGCTAAGAACACATATAGTCTAAGTAATTTCCTATATAGGCTACAGATAGACTGAAGCATCTCTCCATAGATTATGCATCTGATACTCAGACCCTGAAGAAACACAAGTTTGTCAACTTGACAAAAAATAGGCATTTCCTTAAAAATTAAACCGTTGTCTCAAAAATTCACGTGACGGCAATACCCCATTGAATATTTTAAAATGAGTTTCCTTAGCTTTATAGGAGCCACTGGAAAGCTAATATACTGTGTTCACAATTTTTTAATATGGTTTATCATAAGCTTGCAAAACACAGTTTTTATTCAGAAGTGTCGGATATAATATAGAATTGAAACAAGAGTGGATAAGTTTGTTGGGAAGGTCATTACCATTGAAGAGAAAGGAATGGGAGTTCACAAGAAGATCCATCAGGCATGTTGACAGAAGTGTTTTGTGCAAGATTTATAAAGCTTTTTGGAATGGCATTTAAGACATGCTCAAAATGTTTGCGTTCACATTGTAAGTTATATTTAGTACAAAAGTCTTTAAAAGTTAACAATCTCCCATCTTCATCTATTAAATGAAGAACTGACCAAATACCCTTTTCAAGCCACTCAAGAACACATAGAGACTCAGACTTATATTTAGAAACAATAAATCTATTGTTCCATATAGGGATTTTAAGTGGATTTTGGTGGTTATATAATAACTTTCAATAAAACAAAATCTGCTGGTGAAAGGAAGATAATTTGATTGGCAGTCTGGAAACAGTAAAATCACATCTCAATAGAAAAACAATTCCTGCAAAGGTGAGTGCCAAATGGCCCATACAGATGAATGGCCCATAGAAAGTGATTGGTGTGTATGAATAAAAAGAATCAGTATTGCTCAGAGTGGATTAACAAGTTAGATCGATCTCCTGTGGGAGGTCCTAACAGGTTTCATGTAAGATTGTTGAGGGCGACATGCGAACATCACAGCTGAAGGACTGCTACACTACAAACCTTCAATAAATTCTTCTCCCCACAAGAACTCTGGTCAAACTTACTTATTTTATGTATCGGAGAAATCTGATACATTGGCGAGCCACCCAAACCACTGCTCGGCCAAATACAGCAAAATCTAACAGATGTATCCCAAAGTACTGCGAAGAGAGTCTTTTTTTACAGTCCATGGTCGCCATTGTTTCACTGGCGGTCTGAAGGAAATGATGCCAGTCTGGCCCTGATAGTGGCAGCTCCGTCTGAAAGTGATTCCAGAACCTGCCAGTGAAAAACAAATGCTATTAAAGGTTGTATCAGTGATTTCTGGCCCAAAAATAAATGTCTAATCTTTCCTAACGATCCGCTAGCTGCTCGCCCCATAAGCATGCCGTCCAAAAACCGCGTCTCTGTAGGCAGCCTAGGCTCTGAGATCTGCACACAAAAACAAATGTGTACAACCACCACTCAAAACCAAAATAAACAGTGTTCCAACCAATCACTGACAGGGGCGGGTGTTGCTCCGATTTCGCGTCCAGCCGTGCACGAGCGCAAAACCTCACAACACCCGCCCCTGTCAGTGATTGGTTGGAACACTGTTTATTTTGGTTTTGAGTGGTGGTTCTACACATTTGTTTTTGTGTGCAGATCTCAGAGCCTACGCTGCCTACAGAGACGCGGTTTTTGGACGGCATGCTTATGGGGCGGGCAGCTAGCGGATCGTTAGGAAAGATTAGACATTTATTTTTGGGCCTGAAATCACTGATACAACCTTTAATAGTCATGAATGCCACTGCTGGTTTTTCTCTGATCTGAAATGTTTTTGTCGTCATGTTAGCAAAGTGGTCGTCAGCGTTGTTATTGTTAACTTAAACTAAAATGGTAAAACTTAAAAATAAGATTTCATTTGTTAACATTAGTGAATGCATTAACTAACAAAAACAAATATACATTACATACATACATTAAATAACAGCACAATAACAGCATTTAGTAACATTTGTTAATGTTAATGTTGGTTAAAATGTTCATGTTCAACTAATGTTAACTGATACAACTTTTGATTAGAAAAATATAGTAGTAAATATTGAGATTAACATGAACTGATTGATAAATGCTATTGTTTATTCTTCATGTTAACTAATGTAGTTATCTCATGTTAACAAATAAAACAATCTAGTGTTAACACTAACACAAATAGTTTTTTATTAATTAAAATAAATCTGAAATAAAATATAAATTTCAGAAATTAAAATTAGAAATTAAATAAGTTAATTAGTTCAACTAAAACAATATATATATATACGCTTGTTTTTTGTTTTGTTTTTGTTTTTACGTTAAAACCTTCATACACTCTTAGAAGAAAAGGTTCTATTTAGAACCTTCAATGGTTCCGTCAGGCACTTCATATATAGAACCTTTCAGGGGTTCCATTCCATCTTGGGATAATTTATTGGATTTAGTTTTAGTTAATTGATTTAAAAAAAAAAAACCCTGTTAAATATGAAATTATATGCAATCATTTAAAACTGAATAAAATCCCAAACTTGATAATTCCAATTGATTCATCACTTATACGCTCTTATGCATTTTTCCTTTTCATATTGTGATGATTGTATTTTACTTGTGGTGGTAAACATCAGGATCTCGACTCATTCTGTTATTGAAGCCGATGTACAGATCGTCCCATAGCAGCCCGTTCAAAACCACGTGTCTCATCACGCCCACTCTGTTCTTAATCTAAACACACACGTTTCATGTATTAGAATCAGTGCAGATCTCATCAACACAGCCTGTGCTACAGGACTTGAGTCAGGTCACCTCCTCGTACGCGTGATCTCTCTCCGGGCGCGTGTCTGGGAAAGAAAGGTCCTGAAAGTCCACCAGATAGTTGTAACCTCCATCCAGAGGCTTGAAATCATCATCCGTCTCTATGACCTGATGGGAAAACACTCAGTGTTAGAGTTCATCTGTGTTTGTTTGTGTATGTGTGAGATCCACCTGCCGTTTGGCTATAAAAAATATTTTTTACCCGAATGACCAGATTGTAGCCTTTAAATCCTGCCCAGTTATAATAGTACTGGATCCAGCTTTTGTGTTTAAAGATTTCAGCTGAAATGGAAGCATTCAGTTCATCCACATACAAGTCAAAGTCCCAACTGTCCTTATAGATCTTTGTACCGCTGGGCGGTTCAGTGATGGCACTCCTATGGTTATGATATTAAAACCAGAAAAGAAAATGAAAAACAGGCAGACATAATTACAGAGGCTCATGCTACATGCATATATGAATATGATCATAACATAATTCTCAAATCAAAATTAAACAGATGCATGCTCAAAAACTATAAACAATAAACGTAAAAAGGTAAAAAAAACAATGTCAGAGACTACAGTCAATATGTTTACAAAAAAAAAACGTTTACAGATTACACATTTACTGTTGAATATGCATTTATAAAATGCATAATTAAATCAATCATGCTTGGTTATTATGGTTAACTAAAACTAAAAGCCTAAAAAATATTTTTGTTACATCAAATAAAAGAAACGTCTCGGTTACGGATGTAACCCTCGTTCCCTGAGTAGGAAACGGAGACGTTCCGTCGGATGACGACGAATGGGGGTTTCGCTTAGAAAGCCAATCGACTTCGAGTACTTCAAAACGAGCCAATGGCAAAGAATGCCATGGGTCTGCGGAATTTGCATAGCGTAACTCCGCCTCACCTCGTGGGTATTTAAGGAGAACGCTGGCAGCAAATAGGCATGTTTTCTTCGCTGAGGAGCCAAGACTGAGCTCAGGCGATCCCCGCGGTACAGCGGAAGTGGCAGACAGATGGAACGTCTCCGTTCCCTACTCAGGGAACGAGGGTTACATCCGTAACCGAGACGTTCCCTTTCGTTGTCACTCCGAGTTCCGTCGGATGACGACGAATGGGGATACCAGTCTAATCACGCCACCTTCCCAGCTGTCTTCCAGTGCCCTGCGTAAATCTGAGATCCCTGTCGTGAGACTAGCACGGACGAAGGACTCCTATTTAACACAGGAATACCAAGGTACACTGGGGAGCATATCCCAGATCTTTTAGGGAAGTATGCAATTACTGCCAACCCAGAGGGGGGGACTTAAGAATACACATATGACCCGAGGGATGCATATGGGGAATCACTGGGGTGTCCAGCCGCAGGTGGAATATTTCAACCCCAGGGGTGGCAAGGTGGCTTGCCAAGGGAAAGACACATGCTCAGAGAGGCTTACAGTGGGAATACACATGTGGGGGTAGCTCCGGGAGGTACCATGCACACGGGAGGCACCTAGCCGACGCGCAGGCAAGAGACACTGGCGCCGACGTCAGGAGTGCTGGAGGAACTCAGGGCTTTCGGAGAAGCTCACCTGAGGAGAATGTCGCACGTACCCAGTCCGTAGAGTGGAATGGCGAGCAAGCGAAGACACCTGAGCGGGTCCGGTACTAGCTGGTTGAAGCGAGTACATGAGAGGACACAGGCTCCACTCGGAGATTGTAGAATCTGGCGAATGTGTTAGGTGTCGCCCAGCCTGCAGCTCTGCAGATGTCTGTTAGCGAGGCGCCATGCGCTAGAGCCCAAGAGGATGCCACACTCCGGGTGGAGTGGGCAGTCACACCAAGGGGGCACGGTCGACCTTGCTGCTGGTATGCCAAAGCAATGGCGTCCACTATCCAGTGAGACAACCTTTGCTTGGAGAGAGCCTTTCCCTTCAGCTTCCCACCATAACAGACAAAGAGCTGGTCTGAGGTCCTGAAACACTGCGTTCTGTCTACATAGATGCGAAGAGCACGTACTGGACAGAGCAGTGCCAAGGCTGGGTCTGCCTCCTCCTGGGGCAGCGCTTGCAGGTTCACCACCTGGTCCCGAAAGGGAGTGGTAGGAACCTTGGGCACATATCCAAGCCGGGGTCTCAGGATCACGTGAGAGTACGCCGGCCCGAATTCCAGGCACGCTTCGTCAACGGAGAATGCGTGCAGGTCCCCTACCCTCTTAACGGAGGCCAATGCAGTCAGAAGCGCCGTCTTCATAGATAGGAAGCTTAGCTCGACTGACTGCAAAGGCTCAAAGGGAGCACTGCGCAGGGCAGTTAGGACCACTGCGAGGTCCCAAGAGGGTACGAGAGGAGGGCGAGGAGGATTCAGTCTCCTCGCTCCTCTCAGGAACCTGACGATCAGGTCATGCTTCCCCAAAGACTTACCTTCTATAAGGTCATGCTGTGCGGCAATAGCGGCAACATAGACCTTAAGGGTGGAGGGAGACAGCCTTCGCTCCAACCCTTCTTGAAGAAAGGAAAGCACAACACTGATCGAACAACTCCGGGGCTCTTCTCGGCGAGAAGAGCACCAGCTGACGAAGAGGTTCCACTTCAACGCGTAGAGGTGTCTCGTGGACGACGCTCTGGCGGAAGTGATGGTAGCCGCCACCGCTGGTGGCAGGGTACTCAAACCTGCCTCGTCCCATCCAGGAGCCACACGTGGAGGTTCCAAAGATCGGGACGAGGGTGCCATAGGGTGCCCCGTCCCTGAGAAAGGAGGTCCTTCCTCAGAGGAATTGGCCAAGGAGGTGCTGTCGCGAGGAGTACAAGTTCGGAGAACCAGGTCCGGGTGGGCCAGTACGGCGCTACCAAGGTGACCTGCTCCTCGTCCTCCCTGACCTTGCGCAGGGTCTGCGCAAGGAGGCCCACTGGGGGAAACGCATACTTGCGGCCCCGCGGCCAGCTGTGCGCCAGTGCATCCGTGCCGAGCGTGCCCTCGGTCAGGGAATAATACAGGGCGCAATGGGTCGAGTCGTGAGAGGCAAACAGATCTATCTGTGCGTCCCCGAACTGGTCCCAAATCAGCTGAACCGACTGGGGATGGAGTCGCCAATCTCCCGGGAGGGGCTGAAACCGTGAGAGCTCGTCGGCTGCACAGTTCAGAGCTCCTGGAATATAGATGGCACGAAGCGACCTCAGATGCTTCTGACTCCAAAATAGGAGGTGGCGGGCGAGTTGCGACATACGGCGAGAGCGCAGACCACCTTGACGGTTGATGTACGCTACAGTCGCGGTATTGTCTGATCGGACTAGTACATGCTGGCCCGAGAGCACGGCTCGGAAGCGGCGCAGGGCGAGCTGTACAGCCAGCAACTCGAGGCAATTGATGTGCCATAAGCGGTGGGGTCCTATCCAGGAGCCCGCGGCAGCACGTCCATTGCACATGGCACCCCAGCCCGTGGTGGAGGCATCTGTCGTTACAACAACATGCCGAGAAGCTCGTTCCAGAGGCACTCCTGCCCGTAGAAAGCTGAGGTTCCCCCACGGGGTGAAGGTCTGACGGCAGGTCGGAGTAACTGGTACTCGGAGCGTGCCGTGTTGCCATGCCCACCTCGGGACTCGGTCGCGAAGCCAAAGCTGAAGCGGTCTCATATGAAGCAATCCGAGCGGCGGTGCCGCGGCTGCAGATGCCATATGCCCCAGGAGCCTCTGAAAAAGTTTCAGTGGAACCGCACTCTTGCCCTCGAACTGTCTCAGGCAAGTCAGCAGTGACTGCGCGCGCTCGCTCGTAAGCTGCGCGGACATGGCGACCGAGTCGATCTCCATACCGAGAAAAGAGATCCTCTGCGCGGGGCAAAGTTTGCTCTTCTCCCAGTTGACCCGAAGGCCCAAACGGGCTACATGGCGGAGTACCAAGTCCCTGTGTTCGCAAAGCTGATCTCGAGAGTGAGCTAGAATCAGCCAGTCGTCGAGATAGTTCAGAATGCGAACCCCGTGTTCCCGGAGGGGAACAAGGGCTGCCTCGACGACCTTCGTAAAGACGCGAGGGGACAGGGCTAGCCCGAATGGGAGAACTGCGTACTGATATGCCTGACCCTCGAAAGCAAACCGAAGGAACGGTCTGTGTCGAGGGAGAATGGAGACATGAAAGTATGCGTCCTTCAGGTCGATCGCTGCAAACCAATCCTGGTGCCGCACACATTCGAAAACGCGTTTGGCGGTGAGCATCTTGAACGGCAGCCTGTGAAGGGAGCGGTTCAGAACGCGCAGGTCCAGGATTGGCCGTAACCCACCGGTTTTCTTCGGGACAATGAAATACGGGCTGTAGAAGCCGGTCTTCATTTCGGCTGGAGGGACAGTCTCGATCGCACCCTTCGCCAGCAGGGTAGCAACCTCCGCTCTCATGATAGGGGCATTGCCACCGACCAAAGTGGAGCGGACTCCCCTGAAGCGGGGAGGAGACCGCGCGAACTGAATCGCGTAGCCGAGCCTGATCGTTCGTGCGACCCAGCGGGACAGGTTGGGAAGCTCTAGCCAAGCTCCCAAGGACTGAACCAGCGGGGTCATGCGAACCACAGACTTCCCGTCGGTGGGGCAGCGAGGCGGTATGACTGACCCAGACGTGGACGGCATAGCGGCCCGATGTGGGGGTACAGTCATAGACCGCGTCCTGACAGAGCAGACCAGGGAAGGACGAACGTTCCACGGGGGTCTGCTCTGCCAGGGGTCTGGCGACAGAGGGGGATGAGAGCGGCACGGTCCGGGGACGGCGCGCACTGTCATCCGGCTCTGGGACAGAGGAGGACGAGGGGTGCACGGCCCGGGGGCGGCGCACCGTGTCGTCCAAGAACTCTGTGTGCTCAGGGATGAACGTGTTATTTCTTTCTTTAACCACATTAGGGTGCTGCCCACCCGTGGGTGAGCAGCGGGGAGTGGAGAACAAAAGATTCTCCCCCGGCCCTCCACCGGGGGAAGGAGTGGTCCTGCTACCACCTCCTGAGAAAAACACGTCATCCCTGAGCAGCCCGTCTCAGGAGCGCCGCTTGGCCCGGCGTTTAGCGGGGGGCGGGGCTGGAGAGGGCTGGGGCGCCTTCTTGCGACTTCCTCCGCGACCGGGCCCGGATGGAGGCTGCTGCTTGGGCCGGGCGGGAGGGGCGGGAGTCGCAGGAGGGCGCCCTCGGCGGCGAACAGACTGAGTACTCTGCCCGGTCGGCTGGGTGGAGGCAGCAGCGGGCCGTCGGGGCAGAATATGCTTAATCGCCTCAGTCTGTTTCTGCGCAGTCGAGAACTGTTGGGCGAAGTCCTCGACTGCACCGCCGAAAAGGCCATCTTGCGATATGGGGGTGTCGAGCAGCCGGGACCGCTCAGCATCCTTCATATCGGCAAGATTAAGCCAAAGATGTCTCTCCTGGACCACGGCTGTGGACATCACCAAACCCAGGGAGCGTGCGGTCACCTTCGTCGCTCGGAGAGCAAGGTCGGTGGCGGCGCGCAGCTCATTGAAGAGCCCTGGGTCCGTCCTACCCTCGTGCATGTCCCTGAGCATCTGGGCCTGGTAGACCTGCAGAATGGCCATGGCATGCAAAGAGGTGGCTGCCTGTCCCGCAGCTCTGTAGGACTTCGCCACTAATGTAGACGAGTACCTACAGGCTTTGGATGGGTGCTTTGGCTCACCACGAGACGAAGCGCTCTGCGGACACAGTTGCATCGCAACAGAGCGTTCGACCGGGGGAAGCCCAGTGTACCCACGGGCAGCGGCCTCATCGAGGGGAGGAAAGGCGGATGAGATCATCGAGCGGTCACGGGAAGACATGGGAGTCTTCCAGGACTTCGAGATCTCATCATGCACGTCCGGGAAGAAAGGTATCGGGGCCTGACGCGGACGGGGGTCCGCAGCCTGACCCAAATACCAGTCATCCAGCCGCGAGCGCTCGGGACAGGGCGGAGGGTTCCACTCTAACCCGATGCTCGCGGCGGCTCGAGACAGCATGGCCGTCATCTCTGGATCTGACTCTGGCACAACTGTAGTCACACCCGAAGGCGGCAGCTGTGATGAGTCTTCACTTCCAGAAGACTCCGCCCCACCTTGTGATGCTGCAATAGACATGGCATCTTCCTCTGGAGCGCCAAAGGAAACCCGCGGGACACCCGAAGATGATCTCGCCGGAATCCCCTGAACACTCACGGGTTGCAGCATTGGAGAGGGTGCGGCTGGGCACGGACTAATAGTCGGCGCTTGGTTCCAAACCGTCACCCTCAGATCACCCTGGCCACCAGCCGAAGTACTAGCTCTATTTCTAGAGTCAGTAGATCGGGGTGTGGATGAGGGGACCCTCACTCTTGCGAGATCACCGAGTCTTGACCGTAATGCTGCGATGGTCATGTTCCCACAGAGAGAACATGAATCATCCACGAGTGCTGCTCTAGCGTGATCAATGCCCAAACACACTATGCACCACTCGTGCCCATCAGAGTCGTCAACCAGCCTACCGCAACCAGAAGTGCACGGGCGAGGCATCTTTAAAAAGACGTGCCACGTACAAGCTCTTTTGTGAGATTAGAAACCTGATTGTGTTGAAGCGCTCGGGGAGAAACACACTCGCTGTCGAACCACAGACAGATACGCAGGAAGTGCGCGCTCGCCGAAGATCGCCGTCACACCAACACCAGAGAATCTTGCTCGTTTGAAGAACTGACAAATTTCAGGAATGGCTTGTGGAACGAAGGATCACCTTGGCTCCGAAGCGAAAACATGCCTATTTGCTGCCAGCGTTCTCCTTAAATACCCACGAGGTGAGGCGGAGTTACGCTATGCAAATTCCGCAGACCCATGGCATTCTTTGCCATTGGCTCGTTTTGAAGTACTCGAAGTCGATTGGCTTTCTAAGCGAAACCCCCATTCGTCGTCATCCGACGGAACTCGGAGTGACAACGAAAGGGAACATGAAATTACTAATTAAGCCATGGGAATGCTACGTTAATGCAAAGAACACTAAATGCTAGTGTTAATAAAGCCATGGGAACATTACATGCTAGTGCTAATAAAGCCATGGCAACATTACATGCTAATGCTAATAAAGCCATGGGAACATACATTACATACTAATGCTAATAAAGCCATGGCAACATTACATGCTAATGCTAATAAAGCCATGGGAACATTACATGCTAATGCTAATAAAGCCATGGGAACATTACATACTAATGCTAATAAAGCCACGGGAATGCTACATGCTAATGCTAATTAAGCCATAGGAACGCTACATGCTAATGCTAATTAAGCCATGATACCTTTTAGATGTGTCATTTAACGCGAGGGCCAGATCCAGGACAGAACCGGGTAAAGGTGTCCAGGTTAAGGTGTTTGGACAGCTCTTCCTGACGGATTCGTTCAGGTCTTCTGGGCTGTTCTTGATATTCGTCTCCTTTATGTACCTGTTAATCATGTTCGAGTGTTACTTCATAATACACTTTGATGACTGTTATGTACATAATTAATATTTTTTTTATGTTTTTGAAAGAAGTCTCTATTATAAACATCTTCACTGTTAGTTTTGATCAATTTAATCCGCCCTTGCTGAATACAAATATTAATTACTTTCCAAAAAAATAAATAAATCTTTGAACAGTATTGTAATAGTAATGTGTTTGAGTCAGACATCACACTACATGCTTAAAATAGCTTGTGAATGTTGTTTCGTGTTGACTAATGTTTTCATTAAATGTGAAAATGCATTCTTGTATACAGTAGCTAACTATCTAAAAGGTTTTGTGATGAGAGATTGCATTAATATCCACCTGTCAGAAGGATGCGCTTCAGTGAAGTATCCAGCAAACGGGCAGTAGATCTTGGGCTGCAGGGATTTCACCAGCTGAGTCTTATAGTTTAGCAGTTTCTTCCTCTCATTCTTGATGAAAACCGCCTTCCAGCTTTCTGTCAAAGTCAGAAAATTAGAATTAGAATGGAGAGTTGCCTTGAAAAAAATAAACCTGCATGTGTAACAAAGACTTTAGATATAGCATTCATTACTATAAATGGGAGAAAGTGCAACGCAAAATATGGCGGAATAAATCCCGCCTTCTAAATAAAAGAGCCAATCGCCAATTGGTAAAGTCATCACATCACTGCAGCTGCCGTCAGAAAGCTCAGTTGCTACACAAACTGTCAGTGTTTTGAGAAGCATGCTTATGATTGCACATGTGCATTGGCTGGTCTAGTGGAGACCAGCAACTCCACTTAAGTTATAATATGCAGTTTTTTGTCATGATTTGAGCGTTTAGAAACAAAATGTCATGAGACAGATGTTGTCAGATTGAATTGGTGATTTCAAATATAAAATGTATTCGTAAATTGGAAAAGTTAATGTTTCCCCAAAGAGATATAGGAGCTGTACTTGCATGACTGAAATAGCGTTTCAAAGATGGCCGCCGAGTGAATTGACTCGCCTTAAAGGGACTTCGGTGTGTGTAACTCACCAGTGTACTTGCCGCCGTGGAAGGTCATGGGGAAACCGGAGGCGCCGCCAGCGAAGTCGCTCATCATCACGTCAACACCGTGGGGAAGACGTCCATTGTTTGGTCTGGTGCAGTCCACCGTATTCAGGATCATGTGACCTTGGAAGGTGTTTTTTTATTTTTATTTTTTAGTTTGTCCAACCTATTAACAATGTTGTGCATTTCTGAGGGGCTTTAGCCACTTTATTGAGGAGAAAAACTATCCGTTGAAGACAATCTGTTTGTATGCGATTCATCATTTCTATTTACATGAAACAATTTCAACATTATCTTACTGTATTATCTTTACATATTTATGGAGGGTGACACTTTCACACCCTTGAACGAAAGAAAGTGTTGGTGGTTTATCTACACCTGAACTTGTCCCTAACGACCGTTATTATGCATGATGACTTCATGTGACCTGTATGTACTTTATCAATACCATGTGATGTAAATGCAGAAGAATGCAACCGAAACTCTTTCTATTTCTCTTTATAGCAGTTTTTCCGCCAGGAGACAGAACTAATTAGTGAATCAGCTGGCTGAGTTCATGGGTGGAATAAACATATGGCAGGACTTTTACTTTCTGACCCCTGGACTTTACACCCCTGGTGCTTTATACAATAACGATTGTTTCAAAGCAGCTTTACAGGGAAAAACAGGAAAAATCAGTCTGAATGAGCAGCAAAATACCTTTATACTCCACGATCAAGCAGGTGTCCATCTCAGGATGAACTCCGTCCATCAGAATCATAAATCTCAGGTGATCATCGACCTTTCAAATGATTCAAAAGCCGAGATCAAGAAAAGTAGAACACGTGAAAAAGAGCAAAAGGGGAAAAAAAAGCCACCGTATCACTTACATTCTGCCATACCCCGAACGGCACCACGTTGATGTTTGTTAAATTCACTCCACTTTTCTCCAGATACCTGCAACAAAACACAAACAACCTGTTTTTCTACAAGTCAGATGGTCTCCGGATCGCAGGATTCCTCTAGAGCAGGGTTTCCCAAACAGGGGTTAATTAAAAACTAAGGTCACGCTTTAGTTTAGGGTCCAATTCTCACTACTAACTATGACTTTCGCCTCAATAAACACCTAATTACTGCTAACTAATAGTTCGGTAGTTGTTAAGTTTAGGTATTGGGTGGCTTAAGGAATGTAGAATATGGTCATGCAGAATAAGGCATATAATATGTGCTTTAAACATGTCATAAAGCACATATTATATGACTAATCAACGGAAAGCAGAACAGGTGCGTAAATTAGGAACAACGGAAACTGAGGGCCTGTTTACACACCGTTTTCAACTAAAAACGTAAAACTTTTTATGCGTATTTTGGCCGTTCATTTACACAACAACAGCGTTTTGGGTGCCTGAAAACGCAAACTTTTCAAAACGGGTTTCAAAGTGCAAGTTTTTAAAAATGGTCTCAATTCTCTGAAGACAATGACGTCAAGCACATGCGTATTACGTGGTCAGTCTATAGTGTTTCATCGGCATCTAATGGCATGGCAGCAGAATACAGCGTTTTTAGTCGTTTTTGCAGATCCGTGTGAATGGGGATGTTTTGAAAATGGTGTCGTCTGTACCTTCCTTTTACTGTCTATGGTCTGTAAAACTGAAAAACTTTTTTAAGCATATCGTTGTCGTGTAGACGTGCCCTTTTAAGCACAGGGAACTCAGAACCAAAACACAATGAAACTAAACAGACCTACAATTTTGTGTTTGTTATAGTCTATTTTGTTATAGTAGTAGTATGCAAATGTGCGGTTAAATTAAATAGTAACTTAAAATGTCAGATGCTACAGATGCTACTAATATCCTTTAGTTAAAAGGGGTTTAGCTGAAGAAAATTTATGTTTGTCATTTTTATGCTTCAAAAGTATTAGCTGCAATTTAAATGACTCTTAAAAATAAAGATTCGAAAAGCACAATGCCAAAAAGAAAAGTGAAGTCGTTTGCTGTAGAGTTGAGTCTCACCAGAACACCGGCCGTGAAGTGTTTCCGACATAAATGGGAATATCTGGACGCTTTTTGGAAAGACGTCGCAAAGTTGGGTAGCTGACAGAAAAAAAGATGCAAAATATATATTTTTTTGCATAATATAAGGAATATAAAATATGCAGTTGAAGTGTTGTGGTGGATCAGACTGTAACCTCAGGTGATCTGAATGCATGTGGCTGATGTAAATGAGATCTGCCTGACTGAGTCTGTCCATGGCATCAGATGGAGGTTCATGAGCGAGCCACCAGCCTCTGGCAAACGCTGGTCCAGTGAGCCACGGGTCAAACATCATCGTCTTGTTCCCCGCTTTAAGCTCCATACACGCGTGCGTGATGTATGTCAGCTGAAACAAACACACACAGAGAGTATTTATGGATTGAATGTGTTTCAATGCCAACAATGTGGTAAAACATGTTAGAATCATGATAAATTGAACTTCACTTCACTTTCAATTTAAAATAGCTGTTTTCTATTATATTGTAAAATGTAATTTATTCCTGTGATCAAAGCTGAATTTTCAGCATCATTACTCCAGTCTTCAGTGCCACACGATCCTTCAGAAATCATTCTAATATGATGATTTGCTGCTCAAGAAACATTTATTATTATTAATGTTGAAAACATTTGTGCTCCTTCATTTTTTGTGGAAATCATGACACATTTTTTTTTAGGATTCGTTGATGAATAGAAGTTTAGTAAAAAAAACAGTGTTTATAGGCATTTTTTTAACATTATAAATGTCTTTACTGACACTTTTTTCCTTTGGCATTTTATTTACTTTTCGTTATTTTGTTATATATGAGAATACTGCAGGTTGCCAGCAAACTGCCACACGCACACACGCTGGTTGATGCAGGATCTAATCGGATCCATTATACTGATACAGTTTACACCCAAAAGTTTACTTTCACTTGAGACATAACCGGCTGTGTTTACATGAATACTCCACACGATGGACATAATTGCATATTTGATCATCCAAGCGAAATAAGAGTGAAGAAGTACTGAACTCACGATCGCATGAGAGACTCTGCTTTCTGTGACTGTGTGCACACTTACTCTGTCTGTCTGTCAGTCAGCGCGTTAGTGTATTGAGTTCTTTTATTTTTTGCAACAATACAATAACATGGACTGTTGCAGCCAGGGTTAGACTGAGGCAGACTGAATGTTCTGACCAGAGCGGATTATTGATGAGTGGGATTTACCGTGATCTCTCCCGCGTGTAGCTCTTGTGCTTCTCTCGGCTCTGCGGTCCAGGGGTCTGGAGGATTCAACTCAACCAGCTCTAAACTACCGTCAGTGTCTGACAGCACTGCCTCTACACACACACACACACACAACACACAAATACTGACAAGACGATATCAGTTCGCTAACATGAAAGCAATTTGACTAATGTTCAGCAATTTGACTAACGTTCTGGTAAGTTATGAACAACAAACGTTCTTTCACCTATCAGTATTAAGCTTTTAAAAATTATTAGCGGGAATTAAAATGACATCAAATGTTTATAAACTCTTAAAAATATAAAGGTTCCAAAATGGGGTTTTCACGGCGATGTCATTAAAGAACCATTCAGTGAACAGTTCTAAAAAGAACCTTTTCTTAAAAGTCTAAAAGACCTTTTCCACTATAAAGACCCTTTTGTGGAATGGAAAGATTCCATTTCTCCAGTAGCAGTTTTAAATAACAATGATTTTACCGAGTTCATCTTGCATGAAGCTGTCTGGAGGGTTGACATACTCCATGGTGGCCACGTTAAGTTTCCAGTAGTGTTTATTACAGCGCACTGTGCTGTTACACAAACACACAAGCACAATCTAATGAATCCTATTATATACTTCTACAATATTGAATTGTAAATCTTCCTGCACTGTGTCAGTGTTGGTTGCAGAAGAGATGAAACAGGATAGCAGTCTTCATTTAGAAATCAACTCAAATCTTCACAAAACAGAATCACAGGAACAGAACAACCTTAACATGAAGAACTGACAATGAACTGAAAGAAACACAGGGTTTAAATAGACAAAACACTAGAGATGGCTAATTACACACCGGAACAGAACTGAACAGAAACAGAAAGAAACGGAGAGAACAAACTAAGATTTACAAAGAAATTTAGACATGAACAGAAAAACAGGGAAAAAATAAACTTATGAATGCACAAACTCAACACGTGACAGTTTGTCTGCTAAATAATAATAATAATGCATTTTACATTACTTGTGTCTCTTGTGCTCACCAAGGCTGCATTTGGTTGATCAAAAAATAACAGAAAAATTTTGAATTATTATTACAATTTAAAGAATTGTTTTCTATTTTAGTATATGTAATTTATAACTGTGATGGCGAAGATGATTTTTCAGCATCATTACTGCAGTGTCACATGATTCTTTCATAAACAATTATTGCACAATTAAACAATTATTTAGTTATTACACAACCCTAATGTGTACAGGCGAAAGAAAATGAATGTCACAGTTCCAATAACGAAAGAAACATCCTCGCACCTGCTTTTCCCCCCAGCAAATTCCTTTTTATGTGTTCTTCTTCTTACTATTATTTCTGTTGAAATGAGTTTGGGTTCACTCACCTCCTGGACATGTCCTCTATATCTTTAATGAAAAGTCCACCCTGGTGTTTGCACTGGTTTCTACACGCTCGTAGTTTGTCTTTGACTTTGTAAATGATGTAACATTTGCCATTCTCTGGGTTTTTCTTGAAGTTAATTCCCTCTTTCAGTGCCTGGACGTCCTCAGCCTGCAGGCGCAGGACTGTTTTTGAGACCTGGGATGTCATTGTGCTCCAGCTAGAGATGAGCGGATCGTCAGTTCATCGGCAGATCTTTTATAATTAGGTCTTATATAATAACAGAAGTATTACAAGTTCTACAACAAGTTCTTAGATTCAGTTTCAAGCTCAGCAGAAGATTGTTGATCATAATTTACAGATTTTTGCTGTAATTTAAAGGTCCACTATTATATTTACAGGTAATTGTTTGTATTTTGGTTTTACATCAATTTTACCGTTTTTTAAAGGAAATTGTCTGTATTTTTACAGGGTTATGTATGTGTAATTTTACATTAAATATTCAGTAATATTTTACAGATTATTTCTGTGAAATTAGAAAACAAAGAAAATAAGGTATAACTGCAAAAATCAGCAGTCATTTACCATGTTGTCCTTGAAGATCATGAAGCATGTGGGTGTCAAACTGAGTTTTAAAGGGGTCATATAATGCCATTTTTGTACAAGCTAATGTGATTCTTTAGGGTCTAAATTAAAAGTTTGTAATATACTTTAATTAAAAATTCTCATTAGTATTGTAAGAAAACACTTATTTTACCTGGTCAAAAACAGCTCTGTTTTCAGCACGCCGTTTCAGTGCATATGACTTTAAATGATCATGAGCTTTGCTCACTCCGCCTCTCTTTTCTGTGTGTACACCGTTTGTAACACAATAACACAATAACCACGCGTTGTTCATTATAAACGTGGGATTATGAATTATATTGAGAACGTTGTACATAGAAAACATGCCGTAATGTACCCTGAGTGTAAACCGACGCATTCATCGTGAAGCGTGCAGCTAGCGATTTGCAAAGATTATATAAAGATTAATATAAAGATTAATAAAACGTTACACTCACTTTAGTTCTTCTGAAGGTTCAGCAGGAAGACGAATAGGTTCCGATCCTTTATTCAGGTGCAGCTTCTCAGCAAAACCAGCTTTATACTGATCCTCGTTTATAAAGCAGTCTGGTGAGAAATGATTCGGCAAACATGAGAGCATTGACGTTGCTCGTGGGGAATATTCCCTTCGAAAACAAACTCAGCCACTGTATCTTCAGCGGTTCGGATTTAGGAACATTAAAATGACTGCTGTGTTCGTTATTACACCCAAGAACAGAACACCACAATCGCTTAGACGCCATTCTGCTCATAGACAGTGCTCCAGCATATCAACAATGAGCGCGCGGACTATGATTGACAGGACGAGCGAGGGCGGGTCTGTGTTGAATCACAAGCTGTCAATCAACAATCGCGGGAGGGGCGTCCGTTTTATTGACGTCACAAAAACGAACGGCTCAATTTGAGGCAGGGGAAAACATATAAGGAGATTAAAACAAAAACACTGGATGGATTTTTATCATTATATGATGGTTGTGTACAGGCACTGCCAACACACATTTCAGTACAATCAACTTGTAAAAGTGCATGTACCATTATATGACCCCTTTAGGGTTAAATAATTGTATTTGTATACAGTAGGTATACAAACAGTCTTTTAAATTTTGTCTTGCAAATATAAAATCTTTATAGTCGTATAGCAATAAAGTCTTGCAAATCTTTCAGACCGTATTTTAATCTTGTCTTGCAAATGTGCTCATTTTGATAATCATTTGTATTATTCTCCCCTAATTTCATGTTATGTGTTTTATGAATATTTTTCCAAATCTGCGTTGCTGCACACAATGTGTGGCTTTGTGTGCGTGCGACTGTGTGTGTGTGTGCTCGCGCGCGCGCGCTATGACGCAGATTCAAATTATCCGCCAATACTTTTCCGTTGCTTAGTTCCGCTCACCACAACGGTTAGCTGTTTGAACCTGTGTCAAAGGCAAGCGGGAGATTTGAATTTAGTCTACGGTTGTGAAGTGGATTGTTTGCGATCACAGTGGTTCAAAGCTATAATCGTATTCGTCAGGAGCAGCCGTAAGCAGGAGCACTGAACACATGAGTTACGCCGGTTTCACACTGCACGCGTTAGCAGAGCGCACGGCGGTATTTCCGGTGAAGGTCTAAGGATGCTGGATTACTTCCGCCGATCATAGAGTCCAATGCAATACCGAGAATTTATATTGAATTGTATACTCCATGGTTATACTAAAGAAGCGTTAGTCACAAAAACTGACAAAACAGACACACCTCGTTGTGTTTATGCTTCTTTTTAAAATTATATTAAATAAACATAACTATATATAAAATTACATCTAAACGTATGAAAGTTTCGTTTCAAAGACGGGAGGACAGTAAATTTTGAAGACTCTGCCATAATCCCGTTTTCCTCGGTTTTCCTCCGCTTTAATCTCCCCAACCGGAAACTGACGAGCATCCTTGCGTCAAATCCGGAACTTATGCGTGCATATAGCCTATTGGCCTTAAGCAGCGCAGGAGCAGTGCGTACGGTGAGCGGAAGCAGGACACGCGCGTTTTGCTTTCATACTGGCAGTGTTTGACGCGCGCAGCGTGTTTACAGACAAAGTACTCAATAATGGGTAAGTTGGCATTGCTTTATTTCGTTTTCAAATACATTTAAGAGAAAAGACTTGTCAACAAGCTTATTTAATTAATTAATAGGCTATATTATATAACTTTTGGTTCATCTTTGTTTTTGTTGACTTTGTTTTCTTTTTAAATTGATGAAGGTCATTTGATTGACTGTTTAAAACACAATAGATATCATCAATGCGCTTTTGGGTCAAACTGCTGTGTATTTTGGCCATGATAAATGCATTGTCACTTTAATTCAGCGTAAGCCGCGCGGCAAAAATAGACAGGACGCCGAAACGATCGCGGCACTGCTGCTCCTGCTCTGCTCCTGCTACGCGCTGCCGCGCCACCTCTGCGTGCGGTGTGAATGCTCTAATCTGTTAACATCATAGACAGTATAAGAAATGGACAGAGCCATCTCATTGGAACTCAGTTGAGACAGTTGAAGCCCATTTTTAGCGATTTCTGAGCACTTCAGTTCCTGACTCAAACTAAGCTTGATGACGTGAGCAACCTGTCTGACAGACGTTACTCCTCTAGTAGCTGTGCGTGAAAATTGCCAACGTTAATCTTGCAGAGACGGGGAACTTGAGCAAAGAGTTCTTTGGCGTGAGTGAGCAGGAGTAAGTATTCCGTTGCTTTTATGGACTCATTATCTATGGGCTTCTCCCTTGACGGGACGTCCCCCCGATTGCCTGCGAGCTTCTCCTCCTGTCTGTACGGTCATTTCTGTACAGCGCGACAGAGAGTCGAGTGGTTATGACGCAATCGTTAGCCTATTTTTACTAAAACTGTTTCTACGGGGCCATAATGTAACATAGAAGGTAATGGAGCCCTTTATACATTGTCGTGTTTCTTTAGAAATAAATAATGGACAAATGGAGTCTTTAAACGCCTCAGATGTAAAGTTATTCGCTGTCAAAGTGACGCCAAAATGAATGGGAGTCAATGGAAATGCTAACGCAAGTGAAGTTCTGCTACAACATGGCGGCACCCGGCCAGCTTCAACTTCCGGTCGATGGATTACCCCCTTGGTTAACATGGGCGCCAAAAAAAATACGCGCTGCTTACGCTCTGCTAACGCGTGCAGTGTGAAACCGGCGTGAAACCGGCGTTATGTTAACGTTACAGTCCGGGTGTCAGTCAGTCCGTTCGGAAATAACGCGCCCTTTTTCAGTGAGGCTGGATCGTCACAGCGGACATCATCATGCCAAGCAACCGAACACCGGCTGAGGTAAGAGTCTCATACCATAATATGTTAACGATATTTTATATTACATTTGTGTTAATGAACAGTTTCCAAGGTAACGTTAGCATTCATAAATGTTCAGTCATGACTGTTGCCGAGAGCTGGAGGGCAAAACACTGCAGCATGCCTTTCAATTTGCCATCTGTTTTAAGAAAGATCAGTTGAATATCTCTAAAGACCTAAACCAAACTTTAGTAGACTTGTTATGCCTATCAAAGTCCGTCCAATTTTGTATAAAATCTTCGTTATGATGATAGTCAGTCAATCAATCTTTTAAACGGCGGGATATTTTGAAACACTGTCTGGAAGCTGAAAGTCTTGTCTTAAAAAAACATCCTTGATTTTATTATAGTAAAATTGTAGTAACCACGTTTTTGGCAGATTTATTACCAATTTAATAACCACAGTTTTACTAAATTGATTTACCTTTTTTGTTTGTTTGTTTTCTTAGTAAACCATGGCTAATTTTGAAATGGTTAACGTGACTAAGTTAACTCTATCAAGAATGTTAAGAAATCGAATTCAGTTCTGTAACGTTACTTGTTAATAATACAGCGAAGACTAGAGTATGAATATAACATAATGAACCCCTATGTGTAACTGATGCAGCTAGGTCACGGTAAATCATATTCATTTTTAATTTATATGTAGCTAAAATCAGCTCAAAACATACTGGTAACCATTCCTGCTCAGCTTCCAGATCATAGTCAGTTGAGTTTTTGCACTGCCCCAATGCAACACATTCTGACATGTGTAAAAATAGTTTTAAAATAACTTATTTTTTTGTGATTTCAGGTCCCGTGGAAAGCAGATGATCATGGCAAACAAGGTATGGGAAGAATTAACTTTAAAAAAAATAGTAATGACGAGTCTTCTGATTTCATGTGATTGCACTAAAAGTGTGCACAAGTTTTGGTTTTGCTACAGTAAGACCATGATTGTGTTAGATTCCACCCATCTATTGTTTTTTTTGTTTTTTTTTAAACTAGGCTCTGTCGTTTAGATTTAGAAACATGGCTTTTCCTATCACTGCTATCTTAATGACACACATCTCTACCTTTCATTCCAGCCAGATGATCTGACGGTTGCTACTCGCATCTCGGCCTAGCTGATGGAACATTCTTGCTGGATGAATGACCTTCACCTTCAACTCAACCTTGCCAAGACAGAACTGCTTATGGTTTCAGTCAAACCATTCTTGCTGTGATCCTGCTGATTTGCCTTACACCATTAGGAGGATCAGGCCCTTCCTATCGGAGCTCCACAACTCCTGGTCTAAGCTCTTGCTC